GCACCATGCGATGACCTGGGGACAGTCTAGCCACATCCTGCCACAGGGAGCAGTCCAGTTCTCAAGCCTATGTGCCCTGCAAGTCCATTAGAGGACTAGCCCCCACCGGCTTCCTGGGGCCACTCACTCTGGGAGCCCCCCCCCCAGGCTGGGTGGATGGTGACCTTCAGTGAGGACCTGTGTTGGTGATAAGCCTCGGCTGCTCTCACCTCTCAGCCCAGGTCACATCACAGGAGCAAGCTCCCCCTGGGTGAGGCCCAGGCCAGCTGGCTCTGCAGCATGCCCCCATCCCGGTCCCCTCATCCTCCAAAGGCGTTCTTGCAAGATGGCCGCAAGGCCCTCATACTCCTTGCCCCCACATCAGGGGCAGCTGCAAGGCCTGCTGGCTACAGGAGCTGCTGCTCTTTATATCAAAATCTAAATACCCGCTTGTGCATTTGTTTGATAACTGATTTCTGAGTGCCCACTCCGTGCCTGACCAGGCCCAGCGGACACAGCATGAAAGTGACAAACAGAAAAGCCTATCAGTCTGAACAACCCTAGCCCTGTCCAAAGCACCGTGGCTGTCTGGGGGGGCTCTTTGTGATCACACATGCTCCCTCTGGTCCCATGGGAACAGCTAAGATGGACAAGTGCTCTCCGTGTAGCAGACACTGCAGAACCACCGCGCTCTGCTGCCTCCCGGAGGGGGCCCTCTCTGTATACACTACCTAGCCACACACAGTCTTGCGGATAGATTCAGGGGGTTCCCTGATGCCCCTCTGTGGATAACAGTAACAGCTGGCTTGATGAAGCCCCTGTTTATATCAGACATTTTTTTAGAACTTCGTACTTACCCATTTTTATCTTCAAGACAACTCCGTAAAGTTCTAGTATGATGCCCACATGCCAGATGCGGAAATGGAGGCACAGAGAAGTCACAGAGTGAGCACTAGAGCAGACTGGACCCCAGGCAGTGTGGCTCAAGGGTCCACGTTCTTAAGCCACCACTCTCAGCTGCCTGCCCCAACATGGATGAGCAGTGTCAATCTAACTCCAGCCACTCCTTTCACAGTGAACTCACTGGAGGCAAAGCCAGACCAGCATGTTCCTGCCTCCCAAGCTGGGACCCAGAACAGTGAGGTCCACAGCCCGCTAGCCCGCTGCACTCCAACCCCCTGCCGTCGCCCTGCCGAGGCCCACCTGTCAGCTGACAGGGCACACAGCCCCACTTGGACAAGACGAACTGGTTTTCACCAAATCTCTCAAGACAACTGGTAAATCACACCAGAAACAAAAACACAGCTATCATGTAATAACCATACTCCAATCCCACACATCATTGTGCTCAGAGCACTGCTGACCCCCAGCTGTTCTCTTAGGATTACCAACCTGCTCTGCAGACTGGCAGGGAAAGAGGATGGTCGCTAAATCCTCAGCCTCCAAACATAAAAGCACATGTGATGAGGGAACAGCAGCACTCCAAGGAAAAGACATTTAATCAGTCATGGGCTTTCTACTACCTCCAAAATAGTGTCACTAACTCATTCCACTTACAGCCAAGAAATTACAAAATGCAAATCCTTCCTGATGTCAAGGACCAAGGGAAGCCAAGGAACTTCCTGCCAGTCAAAGCTCATGTCCAGCAGGGTAGGACCAACAACTAGGTCACCTGCCATCACTACTGAGAGGACACACACACACTACCAGATCACCTCTCACCACTGCTGAGAGGACACACACAGAGCAAGATGGCCTCCCATCACAGCGAAGAGGACAAGTGCACAACCAGATCACCTGCCACTACTGCTAAGAGGACATAATCCGTCAGTACTTTGGAAGTACCCGGGGAGGAAGGAGTGAGGACAGTGCCTGTGAGCTGGGCTAGCGAGGCCTAACAGCCACACAGTCTTCATTCCCGAGACCAGAACCGCGGACTCAAATTACAACCCTGACATGCAGTGTTGACACCAACTCGCCTCCACCTGGGCCAACCTGAGCTTTAACCACAGGGCTTACTTGTGCCTTCAAGACCTTCAGAGTGATACAGGGCTTTTGCATGTAGCTGATGTTAGTGGAGACAATGGGTGGGGCTCAAGAGGAGCCACCTCCTACCCTCTGCAATAGCTGATGTGTTCAAGGGTCAAGGGTCAAGGGCCATGATGTATGCAACTTACTCTCAAGTAGTTCAGGAAAAAGAAAACAATGAATATGAGTACATAATCTATGTGCATACACAGGTGCGCACACACGGGCGGGGCGGTGGATAAGGCAATATGCCAAGAGTGGGAAGTCTGAGTAAAGGATATACAGGCTCTGTCCCTCAGATGGGAGTATTCGGATGGAAAAAGGTTCCAACCCCCCCAGAGGAGCCCTGGGACCCATCAGGGGGCAGAGGCAGCCTGGGGTCCACAGCCGGGGTTAAGGAAACTGTTCAAAGCATAATATGAAGTTCTCCTGTGGCCAGGGCTGGACACACAAAGGTAGAGCGGACAGGGCCACAGCCAAGGGTGCATCATGGGGAGACAGGCCAGACTTCTAGGACTCAAATCTCATCTCAGCCACTTAGCTGTATGAGCGCTGGGTATTTGTTTCCCAATCTGTAAAATGGGGCTAATAACAGCATCTACCAGGGACCTCCTGGGAGTTAATACATATGTTGGTGCTTAGAACAGTGCCTGACATGTCATCCTCAATCAACCAAGATCAAACATGCATTTAAAAAAAAACTTTGGTGAAAGGTCAAGTTTAGCACGAATGTGCTGCCCCACTCAGTGAAAGGCCTCACACCCTTCCCTGCGCTAGAGAGGAGCCCAAACTGGCTTGGCCCTGTCCTCAGGGACCCTACCAGGCAGAAGTCAGAAGTCACTCTCCCTGCCTGCCTCCCTCTGGAGAGGCAGGTTCTGGCTGGTGCCCTCCTCACAACCAAACATGGTTCTAAAGCCAAGACTCCCACAGAAAGAACGCTAAGACCAGAGAAGCCCCTTTTCCTCACAAGCACCAGCCAGGAAGAGCCATGCCTGGCACTCTCAGGAAGGACACACGGTGGACGTATGAAGAGGCACAGATGAGCAGTGGCATCACCTACCTTCACAGCCCAACCAGGAGCAGCCTCCAGGCTTGCAGGGCAACTCAAGACACTAGCAGGGCAGCTGCAAAGTTCTCAGTGTGGAGAGTCATGCAATCAAAAGGATAACTTCGCTTCCTCCACCAAAGCCACCCCTACCCATGGCCCACTCAGACCTCAGCATGAGATCCCCTGTGAGGTCCTCTTCCACTTCAAAGGTGCAAACAGATGGTCACCTCCTTCACCAGCCTCTGGGCTCCCACACTAGATAGCACTGAAAACACAGGAGCATAACGACTGAGCTGCACCTGGCATCTGCTTCCACGTCCGGCACTCCTAAAGAAAGAGGGGGTTTATTCTCTTCATTTTAACACCCTGAGTGATGGGCAGGCAGTGAGCACTCACAGGCACTTTCTCCACTGCTGCTGGCCAGCTGGCAGGATATGTGAACAGACTGGCAAGGGAAAAGGAGTAGGGGACATCAGTCACCTCTATTATCCAGCCTGGAGATGCTGGACTTAGAACCAGAAGTGCTCCAAAGAAAACAAGCACAATATATGGCTTCCCTTCTAAGCCCAGTGACCTCATCTGCAAAACTGGGACCCAGGAACCAGACCAGGATATGTTTTGTAAAGAATTTAGTCACAAAAACCCACAAATCCATTGTATCTGACCTCCAAGACCCTATAGAGTACCCTCCTCCACAGGTGGCCCTTTTCCTGGTTTCTGTTCCTACCAAAGGCCACCCCACAACCAGTCACCCTGTTGCCAGAGAGCAGCCAAAAGCAGTGAGCAACCAGCTGTACTTGGGGAGCCCAGAGAAGCGTCACTAAGTCTGTCCAGGTTGAGCATGGGCCCAGGGCGTTGGCCACCAGGTAGACTCTTGGGAGGAGGCAGACATTCCATGCAGGTGAAAAAGGCACGGGTCTGAGAGGCGCAGTGTGTCTGGGTTGGGGGGGCTGGCTAGGGCACAGCGAAAGACGCACCGCAGTGCTCTCACTGCCAGGCTTAACAATGCTCACAGAAGATGGCCTGGGCACTTCTGCCTTCATGGCACCCTTCCTCCATCAAGAAATACTGAGAATCGTACTTTTTCACTGTGTTGGTACAAAGGTGACTGTATTTATACATATATTAAAATATTTCCCTTGAAATTTCATTAAAAGTTCACTTTTTCTTTCTTAAAAGAAAACACTTTTGCGGGGCCCCTAAAAGTAGCCTGGGCCTGGGATTCCCACGCCTGATGTATAATTTGGGCCTGCACTGGGGGGAGTGGGGTTTTTATTTGATTTTCTCGGTACAGTTCAGGGGAAGAGAGGTGTACCTGAAACAGGTAAAAGGGCTTTTGGTCGCCATGGTTCTGATTTGCACCACAGACATAAGCACACAAGCTCCAAGAGGAATTCCAAAAGCATTTAATGCTTCCTCGCGTATCCGCAGCGCTCCTAAGAGCCTGGCAAAGCGGCGGGGTCTCCGGCCCCGGAGGCCTGGCACACGACGATATGCATCCTCTGGGCTGGCTCTGAGCTGAGGACCTCTGCAACGCAAGGCCGCACTGAACGCCACAAAGCCACACGGCCTCCGCCGTCCAGCCGAATGGCTTTCAGGGCTGAAAGGCTGGCATGAGGCCACCGTTGGGCGGACGCCTGTGAAACCAGGTGCCTCCACGAGCTGCTCCCGGCCCTGAGCCCTGAAGCCCGACCCCGACCGGCCCCAAGCCTGCAGCGCTGCGCGGACGCGGGCCCGGGCAGCGAACGCGACCACCGAGCCGCACGGCTTCCAAGGCGCTCCGAGCCCAGGTGAGTCCGGTCTGCGCCGGCTGGGGACGCCCAGCCGCCCGCGAGCCGCCTCGGGCGCGCCCCCGCGGAGGTCCCGCCAGTGACAGAGGTCGCGGGGCGACCCCCGCCCGCCCCGCCCCCGGCCGCGCCCCCGCCGCCCCCACCGCGCTGCGCACCTGGCCGCAGCGGCTCGGTGACGGTGAGCACGAGCAGGAAGAGCAGCAGGAAGGCACCGCTGTCTGCCTTGGGCACCATTTATCCTCCGTTCATCGTCCCCCGGGCGGCCGCGTGACCCCGCGGGGAGGCCGGACCGGGCCGGGCTGAGGGTCGGGGGGCCGGGCCGCGCTGAGGGTCAAGGGGACCGGGCCGGGGCTGGCCGCGGAGAGGCGGTGGGCGAGGGCTCCGGCTGGGCCGCGGCAGGACGGGACGGCAGCAATGCCGGGCTGCGAGTTCGCGCGCACGCCCAACGGCAACCCCAAGCTCCGGCTCCAGCTCTGCGCAAGATGGCGGCCGTCCTGCTCCGCTCCGCCCCGCCCCCCTCCCGCGACGCCGCCGCGGACCAATCAGCGCCGAAGAGGGGGGCGGGGCCAAGGGCGGCCGAGCCCGAAAGGGGCGAGGCCTAAGGGCGGGACGGCGGGGGGCAGGGACTGACGGGCGGGCCCAAGGAGGAAGGCGGGACTATAAGAAGTGAGGAGTACCATTGGCTAGGCAGAGAGGTGGGGCTCGGGAACGGAGCCCGAGCGGCGTGACCTCCAGAGGGCCCGGGGTGAGGGCGTCCCCAGGACGTGGGGCGTGGCGGTGGGGGAGGCGCCATGGGGCAGGGCCACAATGCCCGACACTGAAAGGGGCGGGGTGGGGGCGGTGCGCAGCGAGGCCGGGGTGAGGGGAAAGAGAGGAGGAAGCCGACACTGGGACCCGGAGGGTCTTGGCACCTGCAGGCCTGGTGCGGTCAAGGGCTCAAGAGTGCGCCCTAAAGTGTTCTCTCAGAGCGCGACCACTGGAGGAGGGAGGAAGCAAACTAGAAGGCCTGGACATGCTGAGGATGGAGAAAGAGGGTCAACTCTGTAAGGGACAGGCAGGTGTGACTTCCCCCTGCTCACACAACTGAAAGTGTTTCAAACAAGCACGAGGAAATGGCCTAAGGGACTGTCACCCAGGAGAGCTGGCAGGAAAGGCCAGAGCCTATCGACACTGTGGAGCACAGCTGGCCTCCCGCCCCAGCCCCAGGAAGGACTTCCCGGCACAGTGGGGGAGGGGAAAGGCCACATCTGCAGGGAGCAGAGATGAGGCTAAGCGGCCCTGGGAACGAAAGATGCTCCAAGAACCCAGGTGGCACCTGTCATCACAATAGAGTGATGTGGAGGGGAGACAGAGCATCCTCAGCAGGGGGGAGAAGCAAGCTGTCCAGAGGAAGGACCTCAGCAGCACACAGAGGCCTGGCGGTGGGTGGTCAGAGCTGGGGAAGAAGGTGAAGTCTGGGAGCAAAGAAACGGGGAGGGCCAGGGCTCGTGGGACCTCCAGCCCCACCGACCCACTCCTGAGCAGGATAGCCTCCCTCCTGAGGGTCCAGGACCTCAGCCTGCAATGCCTGGGCTGTGTGAGGGAGGGGCACTCACCCTCTCAAGGTAGATAAGGACAAAGTCAAACCCAAGGCTAGGCCAGGCCTGTGACTCCTGCTTCCCCAGGGTGTGGCCGGGAGCAAGTGTTGGACCAAGAGCCTGTCGCAGCAGAACAGCTCCACTGCCCACAGAAACTGGCCACTGTCCACTGCTGCCCTTGCCACTTGTCCAGTCCTCACGGAGCATTCCGAGGAGCAGCTGCCCAGCCTTCTGCCCCCTGGCCCCAAATCTGCCTTGGGAGCCCAGCCGGAGCCATGAGGGAACTCGCAGCAGGAGCAGAATTCCTGTGGGTTGTCCCCCCACAGAGCCACTGTAAGAGAAGCAGGCCGGCCGAAGTTCAGACGAGAAAAGAGGTACTGGGAGGTGAAAAGTCCAGCCAAACCACACATGGAGAGGGCAGGGTCTGGACTCCCCAAACCACAGCGACTGCTGGGCCAGGAGTCTTTACCCTCCCAATGCACCTCCACCCTTGTTGGCCCTGCTCTGTGCCCCTCCCTGCAGGCTGCCTCTGTGCACAGTGTCAGGGGCTGGATGAAGGGAAAAGAGGTTAGGGATGTACCCTCACCCCCTGCCAGCCCCTGGGGTCATGGTGGTCTGGCTTTCCCTCCACCAAAAGCCATGGCCTTTCTCAAGGTTCCAGTGACTATCACCTCCCTCTTCCGTGTGAGTAGGGGTCTGTTACTTGGGGCACCTGCACCTACCCTCAGGGTTCTCTACACTCTGTGTTGATCCTGCCTTTTTATTAAACCCTTCTCAAATTATCCTAAATTGAATGGGTCTTCTGTTTCCTGCTGGGACCACAGCCCTGGATTTCCTGAAATGCCCTGGTTTGCAAGAATTACCAACATGTCCCCCACAGCCCCCTCCTACCTCAGGTCCCAGCCAAGTGCAAGGCCACTCTCCATTGTCCTTAGTCGGCTCTAGCCCACTGGCCAGCCTTCCAGGGTTCCGACTCCAAGCAGCTGAGGCCAGAGCCTCATTCCCCCAGGGCACTCCTCCTTTGTGACTTCACCCACTGAAGTCACCTGGGAGACAATGCTGAACGTTCCACCCCAGAGTCTTGGCCTCTAGGAGGCAGGGACAGCAGGCCCGGCCAGCCTAGAGGACACTCTGTGCACGGTGTCAATGAGGACGCCGCTGGCCCATGTCCCGCAGGGATGTAGAGCGCAGCCTCAGAGGCACTGGGCGCTCCCGGCACCATGGATGACGCTGCCGTCCTCAAGCGACGAGGCTACATCATGGGGATAAATTTGGGAGAGGGCTCATACGCAAAAGTCAAATCTGCTTACTCTGAGCGCCTGAAGTTCAACGTAGCGGTCAAGATCATCGACCGCAAGAAAGCCCCCACGGACTTCTTGGAGAAATTCCTTCCCCGGGAAATTGAAATTCTGGCCATGCTAAACCACCGCTCCATCGTCAAGACCTACGAGATCTTCGAGACATCAGATGGCAAGGTCTACATCGTCATGGAGCTCGGGGTCCAGGGCGACCTCCTCGAGTTCATCAAAACCCGGGGAGCCCTGCAAGAGGATGATGCTCGAAAGAAGTTTCACCAGCTCTCCTCGGCCATCAAGTACTGCCACGACCTGGACGTCGTCCACCGCGACCTCAAGTGCGAGAACCTTCTCCTCGACAAGGACTTCAACATCAAGCTGTCCGACTTTGGCTTTTCCAAGCGCTGCCTGCGGGACGACAGTGGCCGACTGGTATTAAGCAAGACCTTCTGCGGGTCGGCGGCGTACGCGGCCCCCGAGGTGCTGCAGGGCATCCCCTACCAGCCCAAGGTGTATGACATCTGGAGCCTGGGCGTGATCCTCTACATAATGGTCTGTGGCTCCATGCCCTACGACGACTCCAACATCAAGAAGATGCTGCGCATCCAGAAGGAGCACCGCGTCAACTTCCCACGTTCCAAGCACCTGACGGGCGAGTGCAAGGACCTCATCTACCGCATGCTCCAGCCCGATGTCAACCGGCGGCTGCACATCGACGAGATCCTCAGCCACTGCTGGGTGCAGCCCAAGGCACGGGGCCTGTCCTCTGCGGCCATCAACAAAGAGGGGGAGAGCTCCCGGGTCACAGAGTCCTCAGGGACCCCTGAGCCCGACTCTGAGAAGAAGTCTGCCACCAAGCTGGAGCCTCAGGAAGAGGCACAGCCCGAGGCACAACCTGAGAAGACACCCGAGGAGGAGGCAGTGCCAAAGCCTAGGTATTCGGAGCCCCAAGGCTTGACCGCTGAGCAGTCGGCCAGGGAGACAGAGGAAGAGCCACCCCCACAGCCTCCAGAGACACACACCTAGTGAGCCTCTTGCGGCCCAGGGGGCCGGCAGGAATGAGGCAGAGCTCTCGGCTTCAAGCCTGAGCTAGAGAGAAGTCAAGGGATGAACGAGCCAGAGAAGAAGGGCAGTCCCGGATGAGCCGCTATTTTCGTCAGTTTCTTCTCCTTCCCTTTGAACTTGGTAACCCATATGGCTAAAGAAGCAATAAATCACTATATTAGTGCAGACCCCAAGGTGAATGTCTTTGCCCTGGCTTATCACGTGGATTGCACTTCAATTCCTCGCTCACTTGGGAAAACACATCCTGGAGTGCCCAGCCCAAGACTGACCTCAGGCAGCCGCACTAGTTAGAGGTCCCCATTACAGGCTGGGATGGGAGACCTGGAGAGGCAGGGACCAGAGCCAGGGGCTGAATGAGTGAGGAACCCACAGCTTCAAGGGGGACACCCCTGAGTGCCATGCTGGGGGGAGGGCAGGGTAGGACAGGACCGAAAAGGGCCAGCTGAGGTGGGCTGGCTCTGTCTGCAGGTAGGGTGGAGGGTCTGGGCAGACCCGGCCGCTCCAGCCCCACAAGGCTGCCAGTGGGGGTTGGGGAGAGGCTGCTGAGGGGAGACAGTGTCTCAGCCCCACCCCCAAGCTCCCCAACCTGCTGGATGGCTCGTTTTTTCTGTTGTGTCACCACAGTTTCCCCTGTGTCCAGCCAGCACCCAGTTTTCAGCAGTGCCGAGTCACCCCATCCTCTGGTCATGTCCCAGTCTAGGAGAAGTGGATGGCCGGGGTGTGCCCCCACAGTCCTCTGTGGCCTTGACCACATCCCATTTCCCTCGAGTCCCAGCCTGTCCCCAGGAGTGACACCCCTGCCAGAGCTGAGAAGCGGACACTGGAAAGTGGGATGGGACGGGTCCTCAGTCATGCGCCCCAGCCAAGCTGTCTCGGGCAGTCCTCACCTCACTCACCGAGTGGCCTTTCTCTTCGCCTCATTCTGGACGACCTCGTGCGGGCTTGGGGTACCACACACACAAAGGACAAGTGCTTTCAGACTTAGCACTCCCCTGGCCTGGCTCACTCTCGGATGAACCCAACGCCCAGTGCCCAAGGAGAAGCACGGCCCAGTGAGGGCCTGGGCCTCCCCTCCGGGGAGCCCTCCCCACGCCCAGCCTACCTGTCTGCCCAGCTTCTCCCTCCCCACAGTCCCTCCCACCACCTCCCTCAGTGGCCAGAGCAGCCCTGTCTGGCTCCCAATACCCACGGGAGGGAAGGACCCCAGGCCTGGCCCCCTCCTGTGGCCTCGTCCTTCCCCAGTGGCCTCCCAGTGCCAGCCCTCCCCACCACACCCCCTCATGCACACGGCCCATAATCATACTGGGGACTCACCCCTGCACGCTCTGGCCATCTCTCCAGGCTCAGCAAGGGGCCACAGCCCCCACCAAACCTGCCGGGGTTCCCAGCGGTGCTCAACAGTCCTGCTGTGCACTCTGCAGCTGGCCTGTGTGTGCCTAGCATCTGCGCACAGGACAGGCTCTGAGTAGCACTGGGAGGGCCACCCTGTCTCTCGTGGTGGAGTGGGATCCCAGGGCACGAGGCTGGCTGGGGGACCAACCTTAA